CTCTGCTGCCAGCAACCTGCGGTTCCCAGCGTCTCCGCCGCCAGCAGCCCGTGCCTTTCGGCGCGGCCAGCAGTCCGGGTCTCCCAGCGCCGAGGCGTCCGAGGCAGGGAAGGGCGCGTCTCTACTTCCGCCGGCCCTCGTCTTTGCAGGCTCCCCCCAAAAGCCTCCAGGACCGCTGGAGGCCCCTGGCAACTGCGAGGGCCTTGGCGCCGTCCTCGGCCTCGTCGAGCTCCTCTATCAGCTCCTCCTGCCCGCCCACGTTCATCTCCTCCTCCTCCTCCTCCTCCTCCTCCTCCTCCTCCTCCTCCTCCTCCTCCTCCTCCTCCTCCCCTCCCCCCCAGCGCCGCATAGCGCAGGCGCCGTGACCAGAGCGCGCTTGTGCCTCGCCGCCTGGCGTCGGCGGCTCCAGTGGCCCGTGAACCCGCTCTTCCAGGCCACGGTCGTCCGGAGGCGCGGGATAGCGCTGTCGCAGCGATGTGCAAGCCTGCAGGGCCGCTGCCAGCAGCCCAGGGCCCGTGCCGACGTGGCCAGCCAAGGGCATCTGCTCCAAGGCGTCGAGCAGGACGCGCACGTCCTCCATGACGCCTGGCGCAAGCCCATCCTCTGCTGGGAAGCCCGCCTGCAGTCCTTCGAGGCACCGCTGCCCCTCCGCGAACTCTGTGGCCAGCTCCGCGGCCCGGCCTGGGCGGCCACGAGTGCCGCTCCGCCGTCTCCACGTCCGCCCGCGCCGCGGCCAGGCGGCGCTCGGCGCGCGTGACGAACTCCTTGCACGAGTCCAGGTGGGCCCCCGGCTTGGCGCCCGCGGCGTCCTTGGCCAGGCGCGTGGCCGCTTTCTTGAGCGCGGCCGCCTCGAAGTCGAGCCCTGCTGCCCGTAGGACGTCCGAGGCAGGTTCGAGGGCCGCCGACTTCTCCCTGGCGGCTGCCGCACGCTCCTCGGGCGACGGCGGCCGCGCGGGCCACTCGCGAGGCGGCATGGCCACGACGCCATGCTCCGGTGCGCCCGGAAGCAATAACAAAAAATAAAACTAATATATTCCAAAGGTGTTAGCCTTATATCCCGCTCAAGGCGGCCCTGGACAGCGTGACACCAGCAAAGCAGCAGCGGCCTCCAGATGCGCAGAACAGATGCCATCGTGAGGCCAAAATGATTACGAGAAAGTGGCGTACGGACGGGCGGCCAGTCGCTCGAGCTCGACCTCCTTGAGCCAAAATGGCCTGAGCCAAGTGGTCGACTCTCCTCCTCCTCCTCCTCCTCCTCCTCTTCCTCCTCCTCCTCCTGTTCCTCCTCCTCCTGCTCCGCCTCCTTCTTCTCCTCCTCCTCAGCCTCCTCCGCCTCCTACTCCTCTTCTTCTTTCTCTTCCTCCTCCTCACGTTCAGGCAGAGGCCTACTTCACTCGAGACACTTTATGTTTATGGGAAGAGGCGTTCATTCCAACAGCCCCTTCGCTCTCACATTCTTGGGTGGGGCGCTCTCATCAACGCGTCAGCTCTATATCCGAATCAGTCCTCCTCCCCCCCCAAATACAAAAGCTGGAAGCCTAAAGCCAGGCGGGGGGGGCAGTGCTGCTCCTCCCCCTGGCCGCTCGCCCGTCTGCAGCGGTCATCCCCTCGACCACCCACAAGGAGCCAACCATGCCCAACCTCAGCCCGAGGCCCTCGTCCCCAAACTGCTACGAGACCGCGCATGCCCCTGGTCCCACGGCTTGCAGCGAGCTCTCCCCCCTCCATGCGCAGACGGGCAACTCGAGTGCAAAATTGAAAGGCCCCTGCTCTGAGCCTGTCCACTCCCCGCGCGTCGCCTGGCAGCCTTTGCCGTCGCTCTTTCCGTCCGCGCGAGGCGCGTAATGGTAGAAGATGGCCGCGGCCTGGGTTTGCCGGTGGCTTGCAGCGGGGGGCCTGTCCCGAACGGCCCTGCATGCAGGAGGGGAGGCAGCTTGCGACCCACAATCTTGAAGGGCCCAAGACCCGGGAAGCTTCGGTCGCAGCATCGACGCCGTCGTCACAGTCATCGCGATTGTCGCTCTCGCCACGGACATGGCAACTGTCGTCATCTTATCGTCATCGATGTCGCCATACCACCGCCATCACCGTGTCATTCCTTACCGTCGAATTGAATCCTCCCGGCGTATATCGCCCACGCCACAAATTTCGGCTGGGTTTCGGTCATTTACCTGTAACCTGGGCGGGGCTGGTGCTTTCTCAAGATGATTGCCATTGTGGAATAGAAACAATGATATGTTGCTACATATGCGATGCAAAAGCGGCCGTACAAACAAAGAGGCGGAGCAATATATGTGGCCCAAAGTACTACAAAGAATAGCAAAACAATGCAAATCAACGCAGAGCAACACAAAGCTATGCAAAGCAATGCAGGCAATGCAGGGCTATGCAAGGCAATGCAAGGCAACGCGAGGCAATGCAAGGCAATGCAAAGCGATGCAAAGCAATACAATGCAACGCAATGCAATACAATGCAATGCAATGCAATGCAATGCAATGCAAGGCAAGGCAATGCAATGCAATGCAATGCGACTGCAATGCAATAGCAATGCGATTGCAATATTTTGCTCGGCACACAGCTATGACAGGATGACGACCCATGTGCGTCGAGAACCCGATGCGCTGGCGAAGTAGGCAAACCCGGAGTCCCACGAGAGCCAGCCTGCAATAGGCGAGCCAACGAGCGAGACCTTGGCCTGCGCAGTGAGGGCAGAACGCGCGAACGCCTCCGACGAGCGCAGGACTGTCCCACGTGCGTGGCCGAAATCGAAGCCCCAAATTTGGCCCACACGTGTAGAGTGAGGCTCAAACGCTTCCCCTGGAATGTGTGGCGAGGCGGCGAAGTCGCAGAGCTCCGTGAACCACCACGCAAGCATGCACGGCGCTGACGGCTAGAGAATGAACGAGGGGGGAGAGAGCTGTCATGGCCAAGCGCTCGGAAATCCCCCACGAGCGCAGCTCCAAGCGGAGCGATGCGAGCAATCTGTAATGATCTGAGGTGGTGGAGAAGCGGCACCGGCGGCAGCAGCAACGAGGAGGAAAAGATACGAGGCGAGCAAAAAACACTGGACCGGGGGAAACGAAGTCGTTGGAGGCGAGAGGGAAAGGGGAGGAGGAAGGGCACAGGACGGAAGAGGGAGGAGAGGAACATCGCCCTCGACGAACGTATCGACTGCATCACGGGCCCCCCTGCTGGCTGAAGAGAACGGCGCCACGATTCAAATGGGGAGGGACGTCACCACATTCGGCCGCATGACGACTGAAGTGTAGTTCCACACAGCCACTCGGAGAGGAGCGAGGGCGAGACAGGCAGAGGATGCGGAGAGCGGCCAACCCCAGCAAGGCTAGCCTGCGCTCCGCCTCCGGGAGGCGAGACCAGGAGGAAACAGACAAGAGAGTGAGGGCAGCTCCACGCGGCTGCTTGGCGAAGCGCGTCCAGCAGATCACCGGCCACGCGACCAGGACAGAGGGCCAGGCGTGCGCAGTGTCAATCCCCATGCCAGCGGCTAGGACCGCGGTCGACCGCGCGGGAAGGAAGGAAAGGACAAATCCTGCAAGGGCCCCGGGCTCGGGAAGGGGGGGGGACAAGCGGGAGGGCCAGGCCGGCCGGGGCGCCTCATCGGCGGCTCGGGCGGACAAATCATGGCCGGCGCTGCGGCGCGCGCACGGGTGCGCGGCGCTCGCCCGCAGACGCCCGCGCGGGTGCTTGCCGAAGGACGCCCACGGACCAGCCCAAGACTAGCCTGGTAGGACGCGTCGGTCGTGAGCGGGCCAGCCTGCTCAGAATGGCGCGACCTGCAATGCACCCTGCACACAGCGGCGGTCCGCACCGCGGAGCGCAGAACGGCATCCGCGGGCAAGTTGACCACCGGCCGGTCGAGCAGAAGGAAGGCTGCAGGGCTGTCCGCTGCCGACAGGAGCGCGAACGGCGCCACGCGAAAGCACGCACGACCAGGCAGCGCTCGCAGTGCTCGATGGAGTCCTGAAACATACAGCCGAACATGCACCTGCGTCGTCGTTGGTAACGACGGCCAGTGCACCACCCAGTGAACCACGTCCGCAACAATGCGGCGCGGACGCAGGGAGGGGCCGCAATCCGCAACCTCGAGGACCCCCTGCGCCAGCCAAACCCCAACACGCGGGAACAAACTCACCGACCACCGTTCCAGGCGTCGCCGGTAGAAGCGCCCAGGAATTACCGCGAATACCTTCTGCGAGATATCCAGGACGGCGCGTTGCCAGCGCGCCGCGCAGCGACCTCCCCGCTCGTCCGCGTCCGCCGGCACATCCGAGGCGCCGAGGACCCTGGCCCGGAGGCGGGCGGCACCCCAACCAAGACGCTCGAAGTAGGCCAACGCGGCTCCCAGGTGGAGAGCGGCCTCGCACGCGAACCACTTGCGCCAGACGGCCCGGCGGCACAGGAACTCCGGCGCGGCCATCGCCCACCGGCAGCCCTCCACGTCGACGCGCCTCGCACACGGCCACGCGGAAGCGCGCCGCAAAAGATAGATGTCCGATGCGCGCGAGACTTTCCGCGAATTCCAGCGGCCTCGGGTCGCGGGAAATATCTGCGGAGAGCCAGCAGCGCGGCCCCCGGAAGAGACACGCAAGAGCCCGGCGCAGGGTCGCACGCCACGCCCCAAGAGGAGAGAAGAGTTGTGCTTCTCGAACGCCTTGCGCCAAGCTGCGTCGTCGGACTCGATCTGGCCCCAGGAAGAAGCCGAGGTACTTGGCCGAGCACGCCACCTGCATGACGCCCCACCGCGGGGAAATCGCAGCCACTGAGGCCCAGGGCTCCTCCAGCGTCACCTGGCGAAGCGGAATGATGACCGTCTTGCCCACATTTAAGCTCAGCTGGGAGATCAGCTCGCACTCGTGAAGTGCCGCTCCAGCGCGAGAATGCCCCCGCGGAGGGCCTGCGCGACGAGCGCCAGGTCGCCAGCACATGCCCGAGGAATTGCAGAAGGGAGCACGCGTCGAAGGCGCCAGAGGAGAAGGTCGGCGACGATGGCGGGAAAGTGGGGGGAAAGAGGGCAGACCTGGCGCGCGCCCACGGACAATCCGAAGCCTGCGAACGGCTAGCCCGCGATGGCGATCTGGCACACGCCGCCCCGGTGGAGGCCGGCCACGAAGAGGAGGGAACGGAGGGAACGCGCCGGGATGCCTATCCACGCCAGGACATCCAGCATGAAGCCCTGGTCGATCGACAGGAACGCCGCTCGAAAAGTCGAAGGAGACGCACGCCGCGCCCTCTCGACTCAGCGCCGACACTGGACACCCACATCTCCGCGTCGACGTCCAGGACGTCGGCGAAGAAGGAGCGGCCGCCGATAAATCCACGCTGAACCTCCGAGACCCACTCGGATAATATCTCCTCCATCCGGAAGCGCGCGGCATTCGCAAGAATCCCGTCGTCGAAGCTCACGACGCCGATGGGCCTGACCTGGTCGGCATCGAAGAAAGTGCCGACGCTCTCGTCGAAGCTCGACGTCTCGCACGGCAGGAGGTGCAGGAGAGTAGTTGAAGTCAGGGAGATGGTTGCGCTGCAATTCCCCGCCCTCGGGGCCCGCAAACCAAGCGAAGGCCTCGCAGAGAATGTCGATGGCCAGGGGCGCAGCCGGGGCAGGGGAAGGAGGCCCCCGAAGACCGGATTGCCTTCCGGAGGTCCTCTCGGCGCACCCGCCAGCGCGGCGTCTCCACGGAGCGCACGGCGGCGGCAACGCTGGCAGGAAGGCCCCCCTCGAACCAACGGCGGCGAAGGGCCGCGCCCGTCGGGCCCGCCAGGAAGACCCGCTTCCAACGCGCACAGAAGCCCGCCGCCATCTCGCCAGGGCGAATGCGCAGGTCCCCGCGCGCGTCGCGCGCGGCCTGCACGAACATGCCCCGGCCAGGGGACAAGCGGGAGAGCAGTCGGAGGCTGGCCGCGCGCCTGCGCTGTCGCATCACGCCACTCTGCCCCCCGCGCAAGCGCGCGAGCTCGTCGACGGCGCGGAACGCGGCGTCGCACGGATTCGGGGCCAGAGAGCGCACGCGCGGGCACCTCTCGATAGCCGCGAAGATTGCCGGGGCGGCGGCGCGAGACTCGACCACGCAGATAAACGACATAGCGCACCCTAGTTTGTCATCAGAGCAGGTGGGCGGGCTGGACGTCGACGCGGCCATCGTCGCAAGACTCCGACGCGTCGCGGATCGCCTGCCGCAAAAGTGCGAGACGGCAAACCGCATTCGCAGCGCGCAGCTCCTTGCAGCGGAAATGGAAACGCGGGGCAACAGCTTGACACCACCCAGGCCGGCGAACAGTGGCTACTGGAACAGGCCGGGCCGACGCTGGCTTGGAAGGAGGCGCGCGGCGGGCGAGGAAGACGTGGCGGCGGTTGGAGGCGCCGCAGACCCAATTGCCCACTCCGACGGTGACCTGGCGGCCCAACAAGTCGGCGGGCTCGAAGTTGACGCAGAAACGGTCGAGCCGCAAACGCGAAGCAGCCGAGCTGCGAGTCATGCACGGCTGACGAACTTCAGGAACTCCTGCAAGCCGTCGCGTCCAATCGACCTCTTCCGAGATATCGCGCCCCCCTGTGTACTCGCCAGTGGTTTTGCAGGAACGGTCGCGCTCCTCGGCGACCCCGTTGAAGTCGCCCGCAACGATCGTCGTCGCCTCGCGCGCTGGACTCAAGCCCGTGGCCACCCCGGTGCGGAGGCGGGCCAAGCGCCGCGGGCTGGGGATCAGCGGGCACGCCGGGGGGGCGTTCAAGTCTTCTGCACTGCCCGTCTGGAAAAGACGACCGTGAGATCCAGCGATCCGAGCGGGCCGTCCAGGCGCAGCACCGCAGCGCGGACGCATTGAAGGATAACCCAAGATCGATGT